TTACTGATACCTTGGAAACAAGAGGAAGTCATGTGATGACCCGGATGATGGTATTATCGAATATGCCACAGAGCAAACATTATTGTCAAGTATTATTTGTCAAACAGGAAAGTGAAAGACGAACATCTATTGTCCATTAATATTTTAAAAAAACAATTTCCATCAAAAAAAATATCACGATTTTCAGCAAACATGTAACATTGTAATAACTACTTTGTCCTCGGGGTAAAAATTGTGCAAAATAGCTGAGAAGAATTCACAAATTTTCCACTTGTGAAAATCACAAGTCATTCTAATCTCCAAAGAGCCTACACAGTTGCTATCAGCATGATAGTTTCAACCAGTCTTTACCCTGTTGAATTTTAATGATAAAAGCTATTAAGTTATAATATACTTAAACACTGGCAACTAGGTTCAGGAATGTTCTAAACAAAAAACTCAATAGATTGCCACAAAGGCATACAAATATTTCAAACACTAGAAATACATTGATATAATGAGCAGGAACTCGCTAAATGCCAATATTCTAAAATCACTCACACAAGAAAAGAAACAGAACTTTACATATGCAAGATCAAAATATTTATTATTAAATGAAAAGCAATTAAATGTAGCCAAGAAGAAACAAGATTGCGTGGTCGTATCCATCATGAGCATGTTCACTATTCTTTTAAATACAACCTGATTAATTATATTCTATATTTTGTATACATCTTTGCATCATATTAAAGCATCTTACTTATATTATTTACCTAATACTTGTATATCATTGATCTCATTATGATAACTATTTATTTAATTTCAATTTTAACGCAATACTGCATTGGTAAAATGAAATGCGACATAGGACTCAAATCCTTATTGTCGCTCGCCGTATGTACTGAACTGTATAGTCGTTCCATCAATGATTTAGGACGGTACTTAAACCTAGCTTAGGTTAAACACTGCTATTTGTTGAATTGATATTCCGTAGGGAAATATTTACCGTAATTTAGTGTTACTGAGACAATCTAATGGGAAGGACAAGCAGAAATTCGTATATCCTTTCAATGACAATACCCATACACATCGTACTTATTTTTTGTCTGATAATTACGATTTAGAAGAGTTATCTACGCCGCCTGAGATCTCGCATGACCTCAAATTTCTAAGTAGCCCCTTTTGTGTATAAGTAGAGTACAGAGCGTAATTATTTTTGTTAAAGGTGAAATAATATTTGAAGTAGTTAAGGTAAAATTGGGTATGAAACCAGAACATTCAGTCGGCCTAGTGTGCATACTGGACCTTGTTGATAGAGCTATACATTTTATTTCAATAAAAAAAAAAAAGTTGCTTAATTTTATCTTTACCTTGGCGTGATATTCTCTCTTCGAGCGCAGCTTTGCGTTCAGCCTGCTTCTTTTGGTGTATCGCCTCACGGAGTTCCGCTTTAGTTGGGCCCGTCCGCTGGGTTCGCGCTCTTCTGGCGTTATGACGATGTCCTTTTGTAGACGCTGTACTCGTATCAGATGGTACCGAATTCTCCTGCTTAATCCGTGCCGTTTTGGCATATTTTGCATCCCTTGATTCGGAAATGTCGATCGCGTAAATTATTAATATCATAAATAGTGTCAGAATTAAGGCTGGATTTCGAAGCTTCATTGTGCACTGGTTCCAGTTCGTGATTGATCTCTAAAACGATTAGCGATAGCTCCTCTAGTATCGCTGTCCTTCGAGGGGGTTATGTTATGTTTGAGCAGATTAATCCCAGTCTGATGTAACTCATTAGCGCACTTGCATAGGTTATGTGATCACTTTACCCTTGTTAATCAATACATTTCCTCATTTCTCAACTCAAAATTCATTTCAGTAATCCATGACCATTTGATATTGATACATTCTACCTAATCCACTGTACAAATCGTTTACTATACTCTGAATAATGTGTGAACGAATGTTTTCGTTTTTATGGCAATATTGAATCAAAAACTTTAGATTCAAACAAACGTATTTGACACATAGAATCCTTTGAGAACCTTGAGTAAATATTGCGCCTATGAATTCCTATCATTTGAGTGGCACTTCTTTGCCATTTTTTCAAACGTAAATCGAACTAACGATCCGCTTAGCTCACATTTATTCAACTGGACTGCAGAATTGACTTCTCTCACGACTATAAAACGGCAAATGACTCTCTTATAGCTTTTGATATGTTCTTCAGATTTATCATACATTAAGTTGCAGATTATATTTAACATAGTACTCCGTCCTGAACTACCAAATATACATTTACCAAACTAGACTATGTTACTTGTCTCAATTGTTTCTTATTTCTTAATATACAGTAATTTAATTAACCCGCTGTGGGGTTAGGCGCACAATCTATTATGTTTTCTTCATTTTGTGCTTCACAATCCATATGAGTGCAGACGTCTTGTTGTGCTCTCTAATGATCCAATGCCTTAACTTCAACTGAAATCTCTTCTATCCACGTGGCTGAAATGGCAACTCATTCTAATCAAGTTAATTACGACTAGCCCACAAGAAAAATCTCAGTTCTAGATATATTATGAGGGGTCGGTTATGAGCCACTGTACTGTACTAATAATTCCAACGAACGAAGTTCTGAAGGGATATAGTGAAGCCCTCCGTCCGTCAGTCAGTCAGTCCGTCCAGACTGGCGTCAAGTGGACGGATTTTCTTCATATTTTGTGGAAAAATGTATATTGTTAAATAGTTGAACGCAATAAAAAAAGTTCCACGATAGCCGCCGCTTTTGTGAAAATCTTAAGTTTTTCATTTGAAACCAAAGTAATAAATATCATTGTAATTGAAATATTGAATAATACTGAATTTTGGTAGTCTATTCACAACATCTATCTTTTTCATACATATTCATAGTTTTTCACTATGACCCCATAAGGTCGTGTATACATGGGGGTCGAGGAAACAGAAATTTGCGTTAATTTTGAGATCTTTCAGAAGTAAAGAGATTTTGCAATAATTTTCTGATCTTTTCAAAGTACAGTATGGCTTTAGTATACTCAAATTGAAGGAAATTAAGGGGAGATCATTATAATGCTATTGTTTTTCTGATTTGTCCCTCAGAAAATTTAAAATGAATGCCAACAGGAATTTGCGGTAATTTTGAGATCTTTATGGAGTATAGCTTTATTATACTCAAATGAAAGGCAATTTAGAGTAGATTGCATCGTTTTATTGTACTTTTGGGCCTCGTAAAATTCAAAATGGCCGCCTTATGTGAGATTTTGCAATAACTTTCTGACCTCTTCAGAGTATGGCTATATTATTCTTAAATTGAAGAAAATTTTGGTTAGATCACAACTATGGTATTGTTTTCCTGATTTGTGAATCGGAAAATTCAAATTATCTTTATTAATTGTCCGTTTGAAACTCTTAAAAGGTCACCCAAATGCTCAAGCTGGTAGCCAATTCTGATATATCTCTAATGTTTGTAAGTGAGAAATACAGATTCATATATGTTATAGTGTTCATTGGGATTAGCTACTCCGTGGAGTTGCCGTCTACTAGTTTATTTTTGCAATTAGGCGCAAATGACAGTTACGTACATTCTTCAGATTGAGATATATACAAAATGAACTACATATGCATTCACATAAATCCTTATAGCATGGCGTACAATTGATGATGCGCAAATATCGACCTGCATGTCTTAAGTAAAGTTACACAGTGCAGCTGGATGATATCAAAGCTTGATGCAGTATATCCTACCTACACTTCATGGGTACATTTCTACAGACACATTTATATTTATCAATTCATAAACACATATTCTAATTATGATGTCATGAAATCTTTGGTTACAAACAATGAAGTTTTCGCAGAAGAATGCTTCGAATATAGTCCAGAGTAGGGATACTAGCGGTTAACCTTGGTTATCTGGTTTTCTGTATAAAAAAGCTTTTTCTCCTTTTCTGTCCCGTCGCAGCGCCATCTAGTGTCTGATAAATGAATCAAGGTTTATTCTCGATAGGGTAAGTACTAATCTATCAGGAAACATTTGCAAGTTTGGTTAGAAACAGAATTTTTAGAGATGGCGGAGTGATTTTTGAGACTATGTAGAGCAGAATAATTTTCTGAAACAGGTAGCTTTACGGTGGTAGCTCTCTCCAGATTCAGTTATCTCAAAAACGGTGTGGTCACCGTATGCTTATTTTGTAACGGCAAGCTAGACAAGGCTCCAATGAACACTGGTCACTGTTTCGCTGAGCTAGATCTGTGCCCATGAATATATTATGAAATGAAACGTTATAATGGTCGTCAATGGGATTTTTTACTGCAATCTTGACCCTTCGAGAAATGACCCCCTCGCCCCGGAATAGCCTGACAACGGTAACGTCAGATACCGTTGTCACAATGGCGGACATAACCGTCGCTTCAATTAGATTTTCATGAACTGTATTATTTAATTGAGCACCTAGACTAAATTCTCTTGGAACAACAATCAATCTAAGTGTCTTGCGTGATACTCATTTTACAGTTAATAATGTTCTACCATCGAAATAAAGTATTTAATTTAAACGATCAAAATGAGACGGGACAACGGACACTGTAATTACCATATGCAGTTGTCTTTCTAAATTACTCAAATTCAGATTCCGTTGTCATTGACGATATCGAAGACGCTATATTGTGGCGATTCACGACCCAATTTGATCGAAAATGGGATTTCATGAGATACATTATTACAAGAGTTTAATGCATGCAGAGAATTAGCAACGATAAAATGCCATGAATTGATGACCAAGTGATTAAACAGTTGAAGCGACGGTTATGTCCGCCATTTGTGACAACGGTATCTGACTTTACCGTAGTCAGGCTATTCCGGCGTGCCCTGAATATCGTCCCAACTATTGTATATATTTTATAAATGCTTTGCATACTATTACTCACAGCATTTTTACTAAACTGTGACTAGCTTAAATATAATCTAAATCTTTATAAAATAATCATGATTTTATTCTCATTTAAATATATACACGAGCAATAAACTGTACAATAATCATTTAGTGTGTATCCATTGTTAATAATATCAAATAAATATCACATCATCTTACTTAAAAATATCACAGTTCAATATTCCAATTAAATCATCAACTATCCAAATACTGTTGCCTGTATTAAAGCCATCCTGTTGTTGACATCAACGTTTTGTATAATAGTAAAATTGAACGTTTCAATTTGATTTATGAAATATCTGAGTCTTTATGCTTTACTCGAGGGATCGTATGAATAGCTAGGGGTTTCAGATCCCATTTGTACAGAGCCTGATGAAGTTGAATAAACCGGGTTGTCGAACGCCTCGTTAACTGAAGTGGGTGACTTAGACTGCTGTCCAGCTCTCATTTTGTAAACTATGATAGCCAGGATCACAATAACAACCAAAACAGCCATAATGATTCCTGCCACTGCGCCTCCGCTTATACCGGGTGGTTTAACAGTTGCTGAAATATAAACGTGGAGATTAAGATGAACGAAATTAAATATGAATATTGGTACATCGAGATTAAGTCTTAAATCTTTAATGAATTATATTCTTATTTAATTTCTCAACAGGGAGATCCACGATGCATATCACTGTAGGAGACATAAACAATATGTCAATTTTGTAACCAAACGTAATCAATTAAGTTTCAGATTAACTGATCCAACTAGTTCAAGTGTTATTTTCAACATAATTCCAATTTCACCATTTGCCGAAAATCGATGTCTGCCATTCTGCCGTTGTTGTCTTGCTAACAACTTTTGTATTGGTGTTTTGATAATTTGAACCACGCCTGTATTATATTACTATTACTATACTATTACTGTACTATATTTAAGATTTCTACTTACCTACTATTCCCTGGGTCGACCATACAGGAGGCCAATCTGTAATTGATAAATACAGTATTTTATGATTATCAAATTTTAAATAGAAAATTTATTAATTGTAGTCAAAATTGTACCTAAAGCCTGCTGTTTAATTATTCTCTTATGCTAAGATTGAAATTTGAATAAAAGAGGTGACATCCAAGAAGGAATTCGAAATGAATCCTAAAAAGAGACATTGCTGCTTTGAATGGAATGTGTCTACCAAGACCTTCAACCTCAATAAACTGTTACATACTTCTTGTGGTGGATATCCCTATGGGTGGCCACGTCCACCTTGCTCTTGTTGTCTGACCCCCTGTAACGATAGGTGGCCATGTCCAGGCTGGTATTGTTGTAGTCATGCCTGGTCGGTCAGATGGTGGGGTTCCCGTATTAGGTGGAGTACCAGCAGTGCCAGGGTCAACTGCAAACAGATACCACAGTGTGTCACTACAGTCTTCTGTAACACTCAGATCTTTTGAAACCTGATAAAACTGACATATTTGTTCTATGACATACCAGGCCGTTACCCTTTGCATTCGTTTGACTTCACTTCTTAAAAGAGATTTAACTAGACTCTGCACGCAGGGTACCAGGCCGTATCATTTGTCATACTTTGGAAATACCATTGCAGTTCAAATGGTGAACACAACTTTGTGATAGTATATAAAAAAGGAAATCATTCTTACTCTGTGGCATTTTGCATACGAAACCCCTCTTCTGGTCACAGGCAAGATCATTCCACTTTAGGTTCCAACCGTACAGTTCCACGCAATTTTCACCGTCTGTACCATTCACGTCTGAAGGTTCCCCGTTACCCCAGTTTGTATACTGTAATGGACTGCCGTCCTTCCATTGGAATCCACCTGCGTCAAAAAATCCACATTAAAAACAAACATATAACTCAAAGAATACTATGGGCCTAACACCAATAATAACCGACACAAATATATTATATTATAAAGCATGTACATAAAACAATTTAGATAAATTGATAAATAAACTACTATCTCTGCCAAGGCGATTGGAGAATTGATAAAAAACATACACTTTGGGATTATGTAGATAGTTGTACTTAGTTAGTGAATTATAGTTGACTAAAGTCAATTGGAAAAATCAATTGTTAACAGATTAATACCTGATCTTGATCTCATCATGCCAATCCAAACAGCAGCGCCAGAATTTTGTTGCATATGGAGTCCAATAAAATGGTTCTCGTCTTCGCTGTGAATAGTTGTCAGTTCAGCATTTAGTAGTTGACAGTCGAAGTTTGCTTCAGCGAAGTTTTTGCTGGAGTCCTGTTTGAAGGCATAGCAGTAGCCATTGAAATTGGCCCAGTCCTCGCCGTCGTCATCCGGGCACTGACCGTTGCCAGGAGATGGAATATATGGCGGTTGGTCTTCAAATGAAATGATGAAAATGTAAAGTACATGTTTATGACGGTAAAGGATAAGGCAAAAATAGATAATATACTCAGGCCAAATAAAACTAATCTAAACAAAAGGGTTTAATTGTATAGTATAATACACTAGATAAGTACCATTGCTTGTAAATAATCAATTAGCTTTTGTGTCTAACACTATCATTATAGTAGTCAATAATATTTAACACATACCTGTTGTAATTTTGCATACAACTGGGAACTGTTGATTGCAAGGAGCCGTCTTCCATGTGGATGTAGCATAGTCCATCACAACGCATTGCTGTGTTGCCTTTGGTTCATTTTTGCCCCATTTCGTAAACAAAACAGGCCATCTGTCCGACCATCTGTATGTACCAGGAACCTGACCAGAGCAGAGACAAGTTTTCAATAGGACTTAATTACTTAATTAATAAGATTTCTCTGAATTGATTATTGTCCAATTAGTGTTACTATAGTTAATCCAAAAATAAATAACTAATTTTTTATTTAAAAAGTTATTATTGCACTGGATGATCTAAACAAGGTGGATGTAGGATGATTAATTGACCAATATTATATAAGTTCCTCATGTAGATGTTGTATGATTACCTTATTCATAATAAAAAGGAAGGTGTCCTTGGTAATAATTTCGTAAATTGTTCATATTCCCTCGAACACCGACATATATCAATGGTACAAAACTTACCATTTTATCACTCAGTCCAATCCAGACATCAAGTCTGAGGTCCTCTGTCTGTATCATAGACCAGATGAACGCCTGCTCGAATTGTGTCACAATGGATGCGATATTACCTCCCCTCTGTTTACAATACGAGTCTGCCATATCCCAATTTCGCGTTCCTCTTATGAGAGAGTAACAGCCGTTTCCGTGCGGATAGAAATCAGTTCCACAGCTATTGGGAGGAGTTGGTGGCGGATTGGGAATTGAGCGAACTAAAATGAGAGATTTAATGAATTTTAATGAATGAGTGGTGCTAAACAACGTGACCGTTTATCAAAGTCCTTATAGATTGTGACGGTTAAACTGAACAATCCATCATTCGTACCTGGTAGGAACTGATAAGGTAAATAACACAATACTTTTCGAAAATGAAGTGCTGGAAATTCCACTTTATTATCTAATGGCATTTACCATGACTAATTGTCCACATACTTTTGAATGTTTGGCACACATATCCTAATTTGACATCACATGGAACATCATTCCACTTTCCAGCGTGGTAAGGTTCATCCAACATCTCAGCACATTCTTCCTGAAAAACGTTTTCAAAAATTAAATGATATTGAACTGAAAAGGATTTGTCTTTATCAAACAATAAAGCATTTTATAATAGCATGCATTTATTCAAGTGCATCGTATTGGATGTCAGCGTTTTTGTGACATATAACTAAGCTGATGACAATATAATTGCGACCATTTTGAGGATTCCTTCTCGAGCATACATCCCATGATTCAAAGACAGGAAGGGAATAAAGAGACAATACAATAGACCAATTTTTATTCAGCGGACTGTGGGAGGTTTTGCAGTTCCTGCTCAACTAATGAAAGTAACAATACTAATTCGTGCACTTTACATACTCTGTCATCTCCATTAGGCTCTCCGTTATTCCAGTTTGTATAGGTGACCAGTTCATTATTGATCCAAAAGAATTTCTTAGTAAAATGGCGGCTCATTCCAATCCACACAGCTGTAGGCATGTCAACCATCTGTGCTGTTAAAAATGCTAAAAATACAAAAATGTAAATCTAAGTTGGCTTTAAACATATTCAGCACTTAATTAGAACGTATTTGGTTCTTCATCATCATAGTATAGAAATATATAATAAAACTTAATCTAGAATAGCTAATTCGGGGAAACATTTAGTCAATTTCATTAAAATAAACATGAGCTTTAAAACTAAATTTTGGTCGCTTCTCCAATCAAAACTACAATACTAATTTTTGGTCAGTCTTAACGATAAATACACCCTTCTTGGAACAGTGTTCAATATGGTTCAAAAAACCGTGTACCTTGTGCCTGGGGACTCTTTATGGATGCCAAGTCATATCCACTTCCTTCTTTTTGGCACTGTGCCCTTGCATCTGTCCAATTTGTCCAAGTTGACTGATCTTTACCAACTAACTTGAAACATCTGATGCCGAATGTCAGATAGCCAGTGGGGCAATTTCCTGGTAGAGAAAGAGGTGGTGTGGGTGGAGCTGGAGTGCTACCTTTTGACTTCTTGCAAATAAATGAGTGGGGCATGTTGCATTGTTCATCGTTCCAATAACCTATAAATGCACAATTGTTAGTTTTGAACAAGATCATTACGTTTACATGTCAAAAAGCACCTTCAGCTGAAATAGGAATAACGTATCCGTGTAAAAGACATACACTTACTATCATTTTAAAACTTTGTGCAGCTCATTTAAAATTTTTGAAATTCAATTATTTTGGATTTATTGTTACCATTTTAGAATTTTAGACGTTTTTGGATATTTTGATATTATTTTCCTATTAATCGAGGAAGTGGTGACGACATTAGTACTTCCTATGTCAGATCTAATAATAGTTTGGACATTTTGAGGTTTATTGTCCTCTCTGTGTTTGTGATACTCTTCCCTTCTTTTGGTACTCTATCCCTAATTCACAATTTTAATTATGAGGATAGAACTGGGTTATCACTAGTGCGTACCTGTCTTTGAATACATGTTTACACAACGTTCGGCTCCACCCCAGTCATTCGGTTCGCCTTTATTCCAGTTGACGTAATCGGTAGGCGTACGATCAATCCATCTGTAGAAATGGAAACATGCTACACTTACACCCGTGTAAAAATGTTGCTTCTCATTCAAAATTGCAGATGAGATTCTAATAAACACTGTATCTTAATTCTGACTAAACCTGCTGGATGATTTTTGAATTTACTGGTACACATGGGCAGCATATATTTCAGCATACACTTTAGTATCATAGATATACATGAAAAACGATTATATAATCATGAAGTAAACGTGTTTTGTGCTTGTAGTCAAAATGATCACTACACGTTCATCTCCTTATATATTCCCAATATATTATTCAAACGAACGTTTAAGAAATTAAGATTATGTGATATATATGAAACTCCACTTACAGCCATCCATTTTGATCTAATTCATTCAAGCCAATATATACTTTTTCAAAGCTTGTTGGTCTTATTAAACCCCAAAGGAAATCTTGCTCCTCTTGGGAATGAATAGACGCAAGTGCGCCACCATTTGAACGACACCATCCATGGGCATTCATAAACTCTAGGTTTTCCTCATCTCCACCTGTAACAATGCATTCCTACTTACAATGTGACATGCGGATATAGCAGATATGTTACTTTATGTATGCGTTTAAGCCTCTTCAGCGAATATAGTGAAAATTAGGGCACCTTGAAAATTTGGGCTTTCACGGTAGTTGAACGACATATCTTAAAGTGTTAAAGCTAAGACCCAAGTTAACAACATCGTTTATCTATGAAATATTGAGGACTTCACAATATACTTTGTAAACTTTCTCAACACATTTAAATGGAAGTCCATCCACAAGTTAAGTATACTCATCTTTCTTCCAGAAAACATACCTTTCCCAACATAATAGCAGTATCCATTATAAAATTTCCAGTCATCGTTATCAGGGTAACAACTTCCCGGGGGCCCAGCTGAGGGCGGACTCACAGTTGTGACATCTATTGGTGTAATTCCTTTCTGTATCTTACAGACCCAATTTCTTGTGCGACCACAATTCATATCGTTCCATTTGCCGTCACTGTTCTTCATTTCAACACAGTTTTCTATAATAAATCATAATCTTCTAAACAAGCCCTACTTCTTACATGTTTTTTCATTTGTGCTGCTTTTATAGTTTCATTGGCAGAGAGAATTGTGATTTTAATTGTTCTTAGTTCAATAAACATTTATAGAGGTTGTTGTTGCTGTTGTTGTTTTGTTGTTTACAATTGCCATTAGTAATCATAATTGGTTATTCAATATTCCGAAAGAGAAAATTGTTCTGACTTGAGTTATTTTACCCGATATATAACATTAACATAGTTTACCTCGGTCACCCCAGTTATTCGGTTCACCGTCCGCCCAATTGGTATATGTAACAGAGCTACCATCACTCCATTTGTGACCTGGAAAACAAAAATTAATCGACATCAATACCATTCAAAATATGCAATTACAACTTCCAATGCTCTTACAAACGTGAGCATGATATCAGTATTATTTAATGGGATTATGCTGATTGAGTAATATTAACAATAATTAAGTTAAGTGTCTGCTATGCCGTACCTTCTTCCGTGTCACGGTTATTCAAACCAATCCATAATGGCTCATCACTTTCGCCACTGAAATTATAATCATCATGAAAGAACGAGGCTCTGAATTTTGTTGGAAATCTTATGTACTATTCATCTAACAAATGTTGTTGACAATGATCAAATGCCAAACACTTACAAAGATGCTTATAATTAACAATTTTATCAATTTTGTTAATTATACCCCTAGTGTCATTACTCTGAAACGTTTGATGTGCAACAGTGCATTTACATATAATGCTCAAAACGTGGTCAAAATGAATGTAAATGCCTTATTACTATCAACCAAAATGACTACTTACAATATAAAGTTCTTGTAGACAAAGTCATGCTCATCATCATCGTGGAAACTTGCTAGTTCAGCCCCTTGATCTATACAGTTCTTTCTGGCATCTAGCCAGTTGAGACGGTAGTTTGGAAGAACCGCACTCACCTGAAATTACATAATATCATGTCATATCATACCTATGTACTGATATAATCAGATATAACCATAATACTCTTCATTCATCAATGTCGTAACATAACACAAATTAAACCATATTATTATATAATTTAATACAATATCGTATTTTATAAATTAAATTATATCGTATCATATCATGTTAACCTTATAGCAATAACTTCCTAGTAAATAGTCGCTCCAGCCAGCAGCACACGGTGCGGTTATTACAGTGGGGGTAGGCATGGCAGGGGAGGTAAAGCCTCGACGTAGTTTCTCACATACCAGGCCCCGCTTTATACCACAGTTTCTATCATACCAAAGGCCAGCCAAACGCTTGGAGCCTAAACATTAAACATAATATTTCTAAAATATGTATATCAACAAATATTCATTAAAATCAGTCCCTCCTAGGCAATCAGCTAATATTAAAATAAATATTATTTGAATATTCTCAAAATATATCGATAATCATCGATCCAAGTCGAGTCTTACCAAGGGTAACACACTGCCCCTTGCTGTCATCTGGTTCTCCTTTAGCCCAATGTGTATATGGAATATATGAGTGTCCATTACTCCACTGGTATGTTCCAGGTTTAGCCTTGTCAGTGAGATCTGTCCAGAATTCCCCAGTCATCGAATTCAGTTGCGCAGTAAGGAAGGCATTTTCGTACCTCAAGTAAATTACAATAACATTTTTATTTTGAAATTAGCACTTGTGATTTTTTTAGAAGTTGCAAGAGGTCCATCCGACATTGTACTTTTGACAAGTCTAATCTTCATAATATAGAGCTATGTGCAACCATAGTCGTATGACATAAACCCATTGTTAGGAATAAGTGAGGAGATACCTGTTATTGATTCGGACTAAAGTTGCCTTCAGACTCTTGCAATACTGGTTAGCCTGTTGCCACGTCCTCTTGTTAACATTAAGGAATGAATAGCAGGAATAGGAGTAGCCAAGCCATCCCTGTAGTAAAACATGGTACGCTATGAAAGAATTTGAATCAAACATATTAATATCAATCATATATTTGGTACCCAAGTAAATAGGTGAACAGTTGTCTTGTTCTTATAGCACCCATCGCTCTCTAGCCGGGCAAGATGACAATATAGCAATTTCCAGGTGCAATATTGAAAGTGAAATTAAATGTTCAAAATCTCTTACACCATCACATCTGTCATCAACAGGAGGAGCTCCACTGGGGGTTGGTAAAATCTGTTTCTGCGTTTGACACAAGTACCAATACTTTCTCTTATCACACATGGCATCGTTCCATTTCCCATTCTAAAAAGATAATGGTCATGTTAATATCAAAGAGATGTCACGCATCAATTTTGATTGTGTATATGTTTGAGTGTGTTAAATAGAAGAAGTTTAGCTATTATGGATGTCACGCTTTTCACCGTTCGCCCTTCGTCGTCGTGTGAATACCATGGGGCGGATGGTGGACACGGCTTGGATACACAGTGGGCAAAACAAATAGTTTTACAGCAAGATATATCCCATCACACCAGATACAAAAATCAATTAATTAATCTAATCAGTTAAAAAATGAATTCCCCAAATTAGCAACATGGGAGATTTCAATATGTTAAATAGGTAGGAAGTTAGTACATTAGTGTGTTGCTATTCTACATGTACACTTACACTTCCCATAACGACACAGCGTTCATTTTGGCCTCTGTGGTTGTTAGGTTCGGCTGGTCTCCAGTTTGTATAGAGGACAGGCGTCTGGTCAACCCATTCGTAGAAGTTCTTAAAATTTAAATCATTCATACCAATCCAGACCATCTGTCTCACTGAAATAGAAAAGAAAGCATGTTATTTTACAGACTAGTATATGACTGTGCATGGAGGTGAATTTTTACTAGTCACAAGTTACTAGAATAGAACCTCATAATTATTCATTTTAACTAAGATCTAAAGCACAAAGGAGCCTTGTCTAACGCATTTAAGAAACCATTTAAATACAATCTGAAAATCACAAGACATGAGTCTTCATTCAAGTCTGTGAAAAATGTTGAAAATAAAAAAAATATTGACGTCAAAAATCATTGTTAAACAGTAAAATAAAATTGGTAGTACCAAAGACATGGGTACCATCAGTTATGATACAGTGATAAGACTGACTCGCATCATTTTATAATTCATTATATAAAATATGTCAAAGGCGGTTGCTTATTCTTGCAAATGAATTATACACTCTATTATATCTAACATCTAGAAATGCATAAGATACTCTGTTTGTCTAATTGCATTGTTTAGTATATTTTTGAAAGTACCTTATTAACATCTAACTGTCAACCGACAAACCATTAATATTAAGGAACAGACAAATAAAAACAAATAACATAATTATTACTAATAAGCCAAATGGGTTGCTCATGAATACCAAATGCAAGGTATAGTAGAGTGTTATCACATACTTGGTCCAACGAGGCTGGTGATCATAGCCTGGGTCTCAAAGTTATTGATAGTAGCGAGATCTCCACCGTAAGTGACCTTGCAGTCATTCTGAGCATCAGTCCATGTACTTTTTGTTTGCATGACAGAATAGCAAGTATCTTCGTAATCTACCCACCCAGGCATACAGCGCTCATCTTCAGAACCTGTCAAGAGAACATAAATATTGCAAAACTTGATTATATGTAAGTTAAAATCTTAAATACAAAAGTACGAAGTGGTTCAAATGTTGATGAGCGCGTTAAGATTTACATACCTAAAACTCCAGTATTGAATTTTATAAAAAAAATACACTTACAAATTATACACAATTTTATTGATGTGATCTACATAATATATTGATTGATTGGTCATATACGTTCGAAAATATATTGCTTTTGATGTGGTATTTCATTGTAACGTAATATGATATACACGAACAAATGCCAACATCAATTTTTACACCTCCATCACTTACTTATGCCAGTGCCATAAACGAAGTTTACGTTTACTCCTCCACAATTAGCCTCTGGTTCACCAGGACATTTCTTGTTACATTTAGTACTTGGTCCGTATCTTCCATAGGAATTGCCACAGTAACAGTTCTTGCCATTTTGCGCACCAGCATAATGGTAACCCTGCATGTAAAACATATCACGCGAATATGAATATGTGCGTGGTCAATTGTCAAATGAACATAACCTAATAGAAATTGATATTGTTAAAAATTATTTAACAATATTATTGTGTCATGTGAATAATTTGGACACATCGACAAGGAATATTCTATTTTAACTATCTTTGTGAATATTGCCAAGATTTATATCTCTAATTTATGCCATATGCTTAATTGCAGCAACCATAAACTTGTATTACCATAAGTATTGCCTTATATGAATATAATGTATATAATGTAATATTGTCGACGCACCCTATCGAAGCAATGTTTGACACACACTCGTTGTGTAAGACCTCCGACATTACCAAGTGGTACAAATGGTAAATCTCTGTTCTTTGGATTATCAGCAAAGCAGCCAATAGGAACACCGGCGGTAGAGGCTAAATTATAAAATGTAAATGATATGAATAAATACAATGTCAAAATAGATGGGTATACCAAAATCTCTTTGAGGCACACACAGTGATATAAAAGCTAATCAGATCTTGTCACTTACTTCTCTTGCATCTGTAAAATTTTCAAGTTGAAGGTCACTGAAGGTCTAGCAAAGGTCAAATCTCAAAGCTAAGGTCAGATTTGAGCTCCCGAGAACTTGGAAATGATTTTTACAAAAATGGTCAATTTGAAGCAAGTTGAAAAATTCAAATTGTTATGTCCGTTATGTTATGTCAAGCAATTTCTTATCCATATGGAGAATCATGTCCTCATGGTCATATACATGTGCATTGCTCATAACTCACCTTGACAATGGCAAACATAACATTACATGTAGTTATGGATTAATTACTCACCTGGGCAACCAAATACATCCCATCTTAGTGAAGTATGTCTGAACCATTTAGTTGGCCAAATTCGCACCTTTCTTGCAACAAATGGAATTCCAAAATAGTATTTTCTTATGGTGTTTCTGTCCCAGTTACCATCAAATAACTAAAACAAAATAGAATGATGAGGGTAATGTTTTGTTGTTTTTCTAGAGAGAAATCAAATACCTTGTCTCAACAATCAATGATATGTATAAAGTAAGGGCTATTTTTGATTGGGATGAAATTCTTTAATTTGATCGAAATGTATATTAAAAGATCGGTACTTGTAAATAGATTATTACATTCAAATAAAAACAAGTTATATAGTTTCAGTAAGGTGACACCTCCATAATACCGATGTAAATACTTCTTATACTTATTTCTTAATATGATATCAAGATTGAAATACACGAAGCATACCCTTATTTTATTGTTTTCTCTATATGGGTAGAACTGCCGTCCATGAGTACTATAATGAAGTCTGTATTCAGTGACCCATTGGTTGTTATCAGCTCTTCCTTGAGTAGCTATACCTCTTACGTTATATTGTATCATGAAATCAACCTAAATGGAAATGAGACGTATGCAATTATAAAGTAGTAGCCGAGACAACACAAGTCCCAAGTCTGTATTTTTACTCTCATTTCTTCACTTTTAAGAGTTAAGTCACCACATTTTGCATGCATATTCCTTGCAGAAATCCTAACATAGAATTTTATTGGTTTTGATTATAACTTATTTGTTGAAAATAGAGAAACATTTGATTCTGATTGGTCTATAATCAAAATTTTGCCATTTTCAGCGACAAATGCATTATTTTAACTTTATATAAAAAATCACTACTTTTGGTGTAATAATTCCAAATTGACCACATGTTTCCTTTTTCCGCAAAAGTGTATCTATTTTGGGGTAATTGAGACATATCCGAGAAAAATGGTATGCAGAAACATGATATTTGAAATAAAACGGGGCCAAAAAGGACCCCTGAAGATGCCTACATTATTTGAGATTTTTTGCGTGTTTTAATTTCCTGAAAAATGGATGGGGTAGGGGAGTGGCATACCCTTTGGGCTTATTCCAGTAACCATTTTAATCAAATGAATGATGACATATTTGGTATCATCTTTAAGCTTGTCATGTGTGCGTTAATTTGGTACCCGTATTATGACGTCAGATGCTATATATTGTGACATCACAGTAGTAACAAACGATCTTAAAGGGGAAATTAAGCACCAAAATGCGGCAAAATAATGGTGTGACTCCACCACTGTTTTGCCAATTCACTGCTTGCCACAATCAATGAATGCATTTCTCATTGGGGTACTCTTCCAATGCATGATCTGATGACTGGCAAAAAATATCTAGGATGATAGTTATTGTCAATAAGATTAGAGACACCATATTGTATCTATCATTAATAACTTCAATTTTCATTAATGACGTCAAAATGTTGCATTTGTTACACAAAATGGATAATTCTGATTATGGACCAATACAAATCAAATGTTTCTCGATTTTTAACAAATAAATTATAATCGAAACCAATAAAATTCTATGTTAGGATTTCTTCAAGGAATATGCATGCAAAATATGATGACTTAACTCTTAAAAGTGAAGAAATGAGAGTAAAAATACAGACTTGGGACTTGTGTTGTCTCGGCTACTATGATATCACACCAATATAATAGTAGGTTAGACAACACAGGGGTAACAACAGATAAATGTACTAAATATCTAATATTGAATGAAATAAAATAGTAACGCATCACACTCTGGCCACTAAAAATAATATCTTGTAATATATTAAATAACATCTAAATTGTGTAAACAGACCACATGTTTACCTGTAACCATTGTTTGCCGTCATTTCGTTTGGAGCACCATGCACCAACCAGGCCTCCCTCACGCTTGGTGTTAAGTCTAGACCTCCCTGGTCCGTGTCTGGCATTCCAATTACTACTTGCTCTGAGTTGCTTGTCCCTTACATCCTTAACTCGAGGTGTAGGCTGACAACCTATTCGTAAACTTGGATCCTTAGCATGTTGCAGTTTAACTTACATTTTGAGAGAGAATGATATTGGTTTACTATTTTTGTTTTAACGTCATTTGAAATACAGTTCCCGGAAATATGGTTAAGTTTTGTGTCATAGTGGTATGTGTACTTTTGATTTTTTGTCACCTTTGAGGTCATCTCACTATGAGAAACTAAAATGTTTTAAAATTATGATCAAAGAAAATCAAGCTTTAGAATGGCCAAATGTACACTCACCAGGTAGGCATCCACGCAAATCCCATCTCAACGAAATATGTCCTTTCCAAGATATTGGGAGTAATCTAACTTTTTGAGCTATGAATGGGGACTTGAACTCATTAATTTTTAGAGTATTCCTGTCAACGTTTCCATCAAATATCTGCAATAAAGTGGACATATATGAATTGCATTTTATATGAAGATAAAGTGAATGGCAACTAGTACAAAAATAACAGGTAATCTCGTGATGTTTTTATGTTATTCATTAAATTAAAATGATTTTTTTTGATATATTAGATAAATACAGATCCATAGTTTAACAATGGAGATATATCCGGGATATATTCAAATATTTAAACATAATTTGTAAAGAGAAAATTGAATTTTTGAATGCTTAATGTAATAGTGTCTTTGTATCTACCCGGACTGATCATTTACTAACCTTGCTATAGCCGTATGGCTGTGTGTAGTCAATAAATTTAGTGCCATCAAGACTGTAGCTTATCTTAAACTGAGTAATCCACTGGTCGTAATCACTCCTGCCTTGTGTGACGACAGCCTTGATACGCATGAGATTACGGAGATCAACCTGAATCCACTGGCCTGCATTGTTAGTACCAGCAGACCACGCACCTGTCTGTCCTCCACCTTTCACATTATGCAATCGTGCATTTGATGGTCCATGGTTAGGGGCCCAGTTTGAACTCGCGGTCATTAAAGCATCTGGTACAATTGTGTCGCCGGTAACTAGATATTCGTCTTTACAATCCTCTGGAACATATCATAAATATTATGCATTGAATTGAATACATATTTATTGAATAGGTTTGGCTATACGTAATTATAAACATCGAACTTGTAGTTTTAATATAGATCATATAAATTAAAAATACATCAAGTTTTGTAAACTTGCTCATACTATTCATCCTGAATCCATCCGTCCCTTTCAATTTTATTTTCTCTCCCAATCTCTTACCGTCTTCTTAACATGACAAAGAACGTTAAACGCAAATACCCAAATCAAAGTACTTTAAAAGTATGAATATCTCAATATGCGATGTATGAGTTATTACGTATTCAAAATAATATTGGAACACTTTTATTATTAGGTTCTTTGGACTAAAGATATTTTACCAGGTATACATCCTAAGATTTCCCAACGAACTGAGATTCTTGAACTCCATGCTGTAGGCCATAGTCGTACGTAACTGGCCTCAAATGGTGTTGTAAGCATAGAAGTCTTCGGTGTGTTTTGTACAGAAACTCCATCTAATATCTAGAGTTAAAAAGATTGGCATTATATAAACTTGTATTTACTTGTATAGTGCTATACCTCTTCTACGGATATGATATAGTTGGGTATGACTGAAAAAAGGATCGTGTTTTGTAACTCCCACTTATGGGTTTCATATAAGCAAGGACTTTTTCATCACCTTTATTCTTCCTGGTGGATCTTGGTACCATTCTATGATAGTCGTGTCATATCCATATTGCAGTTTGTATTTTGTAACCCACATCGGCTGATCTTGTCGGGCCATGACTATGATTCCTTTTACTAAGATCTCTTGCATGAAATTCGCTTGGATCCATTGGTTCTTGTCATCTCTGTTTGGCATCCAAGCTCTCACTGGTGGTCCTCGGCCTATGGTAAAAATAAACGTAAATGAAAATGAGCCGAATTATTCAGAAGAACCAATAAAACAGTCTTTTATATCTATACCAACGGCCAGGCGATTTTAAAAATCTCGTCAAAATTCCCTAAAGTGTACGAAATGTTAATCATTACAAAGTATTTTTCAAAGTTCCTTACTGGTACACATTGGTATTCCGCAATATCTCCACCTGACATCTGGATTAGTTGTGTAGCACCATGGTCCCTCTGTCTCCTCTTCCGACCCTGGGTTTCTAAATAACAAGAACTACATGTAAAAAATGTACACGCAATGTACACGCACCAGTGTCAAGGTAACAGAACACAGCAAAAGGCATTTAAGAGCACACCACTCATAAGAAAAACAAATACCAACAATCCTAAACCATGATATAACGAGAAAATAAACAATATATTATACCACTCCTACACTATAAGACATAATTTAATATAGGTCAGTTCTTGTGATTAAAAGTGATTTGTGTTTTAGCAATGCGCTCTTTCATCAAACCAATTTTCAATATTATTTCTCAATTAGCTAATTGTGGCTGAAGAAAGGAAGAAACTAAAGAGAGTTAGGTACTACTATTACATTGATATTTGCAATACGTATATAAAAAAAGTCACACTATTAAATACAAAAATACAACAAACCGGCAATAATTGCTTGCATCGCCTAGGGTTGCGTCAGGGTATTTTGAAGCGTCTGTGTAACTGTGTTTGTGAGGGTATTGTGAGTCCCAACGCTGACAAGTATAACCTTCATCAGTCCATGCTCTGAACCCCTTATATTCAATACCCTTTGTGGTGTCCTTGCACCCGCCTATTAGCATTGATTATAAGTTATTGAATTCAAATTATAGATACGAATAATGAAATGATGCGATAACAACATTTATTCCATAATAACATGTTTTCCCTGGGAAAATAACAGGGAATAAAAGTGTTATTTGAAAAATCCCGTATCAGATCCCGTATCAGCCAAAATCCCGTATCAGATCCCGTATTGGATCCCGTATCAGCAAAAATCCCGTATCAGATCCCGTATCAGAAATATTCCCGGTAATTTCTCTTGAGTTTTACGCTTTTCTTTAAGTAAAACTTGATAATAAAAGTTGAAAATGTTATATGATAAATTGTATAATTTTATGTCACAATCATTGGATGATGACATACAAAAATTGAAAAAAAAATATTATGAAATAAATAGGTTATTGATGGTCGTGATGGAATATGGATTTATTCCTTGAGAAAATATGATATTGGCCTCAGAAAATATCATATTGACACTCGGGCTATCGCCCTCGGTCAATATGATATTTTCCTTGGCCAATATCATATTTTCCCTCGGAATAAAATCCATATTCCATCCCTCCCATTAAATAACCTCTATATACAGTTTCAAGTATCCATTTTACTATTGGATATTTAAATACATTCTGATACTCATAACATCTTTCTGTTTCACCTGAACATGATCTCAGGGCTGAGAAGAAATGATCTGTCGTGGTGTATGTATCATGATGATTGAAAGATAAGATATTGGATGCTTTTCGAGTATTTTTCTACAATTTTATCTACGACTACAAATGGCTCAAGATATAATTTTACAATGGGGCGTTAAATAACACCCTTATTAAATAAAGACTGGTACTTATTCATGTATAGCTTTAAAATTACATTTATTTTATTTTCCAAGCTTAAGTTGTTTCGACCATAAATCTAAAGTGTAGTGAGTTGTAAGTACCAGTACATACCGACATCTATCCTAGCTTCCCTAGGTGAGTGATCTTTATTAAGATTACTTGAAGATGTCATCAAACCGTCCTGTAAGCTATGGAAACCAGAAAGCATTGGCCAGGAATTACAGTTTGCTGAAATATAATTGAATATATTTTTTAGTTTAAAGATCTGAATACAGATCTTAATACTTGAGTGAAACGTATTACACTCTTATTCCATAGTTAGCATGATATTCATAGGATAACATGTGAAAATAAAAACGGTATTTTTGTAATCAGTGGTAAAATATGATATTTTTGACAAATTTTCACTTAACCATAGCATACGGTTTTTTAGCCATGACATACGACGTCGTATGCGATGGTTTATGGATTTTTGCTACTTCAGACTCAAAACGAGGCTAAGTGTCAACATCGCCGGATCGTTTGGAAAATTCGAATTAAATGACTTAGTTTCCGACGATTCTGATGATGACTTTAACTATGGAATAAAAAGAACATCCTATGATTTACTCGTGATATGATTTTAATCCACTCATGGTTATTGATATCTGCACTCTCTCGCTACGCTCCCTCGTGCAGATATGATATCCATTCGTGGATAAAAATCATATCACTCATAAATCATAGGATATCCTCTATTTATTGCAGTCGTTCAAGTTCACGGTGGTAGATTTATTTTGATATTTCGAAATATATATTATTGTAAATTGGATACATTGAAATCAGCGAGATTCGACTTTGAATTATGAGAAAACATTGACTTCCGTCAAAAATATTATGCTACAAATAATTATAGCTAGGTGTAAAGAGGCATAATGACTCTTACGTGGTGCAGTAGTTGGAGACGGAGCAACAGTTGTCGCTTGTATTGCTGAAATATAATAAAAAAATACCTGTTATACAGGGTTATACAGATACTTCTAATATTCCATTTTGAAAAATAATTTCAAAATATGCCATGAGGCATGGCTAACATCAATGTAGAATTGTTGCTTAAAATAATATTACGAAATCTGCAATTTTTCAAACAGACCCTTAGTGTAATGGTGTATGTTTTCCTTTAAAACTCAAAATCCCCTTCATATTTATAATTGTATGATTGATTCCTGCATATCCTGCTAAAATTTATTGAAATCCTTGCATTTTAAAAAAAGTTTTATATCGAAAAATATGGACGTTTTATACCAAGTTGCATATAATATTTAAAAAAAAATTGGTCATCTGTATAAAATCATTTCAAATATCCACATCAAAGCTAAGCACACCTCGTCATTATTGTTATCTATTTAGTATATTGTTACTTTTTATTTACTTATCGACTTATTCATTTATTTATTTAATTATTAATTGTTTAGTAGTTCTTTAATTTCAAGTTCACTTACACACAAAGATAGATAAACAAGAAAAATAAGTTGTCTAATCTCTAGATAATGACAAAATAGCAATTAATTTTTTAGAGATACTCACATGATTTTTTGCAGATATAAGGCTTGAGGTCTGGACAGTCGTCATCATTCCACATTCCATGTAAGGCAATCAGTGCTACACAATGTTCTTCTTTCCTGTCTGGCTGCCCTGAAAGACAATATAAAGGCTCGCATAGTTTTAGTGCAGCTAAAGGAGTCACCTTTGTATTCCATCATAATTGAAACCTCCATCTAAAATGTTCACATAATTTAACAGTACCAGTCACTCTTAATGGCCTACCGTTGGGTGCATTGTGCATTTGCATTTATAAATCATTTGATCAATATACGGCATTGCATCACAGATGGTGTTCCTTACCAGGTATCCAGTTGACCCATCTAAACGGAGATCCATCTGACCAACGCCATCCACTTGTATCGTCTCTGTCATTTGCACCTATCCAGTAGGAGGCTGTACCATGTCCAGCATCGCTTAGTATAAGTGCTGAAAGTATTACTTAGCTATTAAAATTATAATAAAACATTGATAAAACACAATGCAATTTAATACGTGTTGGTGCTAAAGTGAAAAGCATCTTTATGCAGATACATATGCACAACAGCTAAATTATGGCCAAAATGGAAAGGATTGACCACCTTCTAAAGAAGTATTGCCAAAAAGTATTAGCCTAGGGAGACTCCAAGGAATGTTTGATTATCTAAGTTTCAATCACAATTCGCATATGAATTCAAATTGCTTATTGATTGTAGAGAAACAGCCAAGTTGAAACACATATGTACAATGGAATGATGGAACGATGTAACTCACCACTGACAAATGATTGTTCATGAAGGCTCACAATGCTCATCAGATCAGATCCTTTGCTTATACAGTCTGCTCTAGCAGCCGGCCAGTCTAGCTTGGCGTCAGGATTCAATTGGTAGCAGAAACCACCAACTGCGTCCCACACCCAACCCGGGCCGCACATAGGAGAAAATGGTTCTACAAAATACCGGAGAGTGATATCAACCTTGGCTGATATTGTATCACAAGAATCTTAATCGTCAGATCACGCTGGTTCATTTATTGAGTTTTTCTAAGAATCATAATGATACGTTATAGTGTGTATTGTTGTAAAAAAATATCACACAAATTAGAAGGCAAATACGATAATGGGATTTAGTAGTGGTGCACCTTTCTATATGATTGCTTGTATGAAGTGTTTATTATCTCTTTGCAACATATCCGTGTAAGATATATGAACCAATCACCGGCCAATCACATTACAAGTTTATGTTCTTCTGTTAGTTTTAGAATATATTATACCTCAAACATAACTTAGCAAATTGGATGAAATGCAAGGTTAAACATTTGGATATTTCACGACTGTTTAGCTACTCACTTGTAGTTGGTATCGGTGTTGATGTAGGTGGATTTAGAATATGATCTGAAAAACAAATTATAAATTACTTAAATTATTTGAATATCTGTATGTAAATAACTGATCAAAAGAGAAACAGCATTGAAGAAACACAATCTTGACGTTATATAAGAATTGTGAAAATTGTTAGACTGAAAAGCATGCAAATGAAATCGCTTTTGCAGTTAAGATTCAAAACACAACTCCCAAAATATGATGTGGTATTTCAATTTGCAGAAAGGAGCAAATAAGTTCAGGGGAGTACCAGGTCGTTCAATGAGTTACGGTTAAGTGCCCCGCCTACCCAAAAGTCATGTTACCATTGTAACCATTATTATTGACCAATCAATAGATATGCTGATATATAATGAATCAATTAAACAAAATATTTCTTAGACATTGTGTGAAAATTTCAAAAATAAATATCAAAATCTTTGAAACGAGAGCATCTTTCCGTAAACTTATTGAACGACCTGGTAAATAAAAATACATAAACCTTACAGGCAGGCTTTTTGCAAATATATCTTATTTTCAAGTGACATCGTCCATCGTTCCATGCCCCCATTTCACTGGCAGTCTTTTTCATCACGACACAGTCTTCGTTATTTCTCCAGTCGTTAGGTTCCCCCTTGTGCCAGTTGCTGAAATTGTACTGCAAACAGAAATAACTAACTAATATACGACAATTATCCCAGATACAATTTGTTTTTTATTAAATCATGAAGAATTTGATCAGCATTTAATATAATTCTAGTGGTCCCTTTTATACAGATCTTATATTTGGACTGGTGAATTATTTAAATTACAAGAGTCGCTCGTCGATATAAAGGAAGGTATTACGAAAAGGTCTTACAGGAGTACCATCCGTCCATGCAAACTTCCCTTCGGTGGATAAATCGTGAAGTCCTATCCAAGCCTGATCGGGCAGCATGTTATCTATAAAGCAAGGATTAAACAAACTGACCTAATTGAAATTGTATTAAATTGAATTGAATATCGTAAGCATATGTGTCATAACCATTGCAAATAAGTATTAAAACAAAGGAACATTACAAAAGAAACATTGAAGAGAAGTAGATCATAAGTAAACAAATCCCAAACATCCCATATAGCAATCAAACCTACAATGGCTAACGCCCCATTTCTTCAACCTTTCAGAAATCATGTTCACAATCCAAAACCACAATTTCATAAGCTATTTCGTTTCTATTGAATTCAGTGCAAAGTATATTGTACAACAATTCAGCCCTTATTGAGCATTTTATAAAGTATTTGTAATGGTAAGATATTTTTAAAAAGTACTTTATAAACCTTTTACGTTGACAGTCACACTTCAATATAATCATGTTGTTTAAAGATACACTAAATATACGTTTGTAACTTACTGCTTAGAAACGATTGTTCGTCCCAACCACTCACTGATGTCAAGTCAGCCTGTTCTTGTTGGCACCCTGCGCGCGCATCACTCCATGGCTTGGGGTCATCCATAAACTTGTAGCAATTATCTTCATACATTGTCCATCCAAGCTCACATCGGTAGTTTTCTAGAAATAAATGATGCAACGGTTTTACTTTTTTGAGGTATACACTTGTAGATGATCTAATACAGATGATGGAAGAGATACAAACTACTTGCCATACTTGAACACAAGGATTTCAGAATATATCTCTTACCTTGACAAAATGGAATTTGGTCGCAAAGTTCCCATTGTACTTTAGAGTCAGTTGTAAAGCACCACACACCCCAAGGCCACTTGTCAGGGTTTCTACAGTAATTCTTTGCATCTTTTACAGTTCTGTCTGGGAAATCAGAGTCCTATAACAATGAACATCACATTGTAAATGAATGGATAAAAACATGAGGATCCAGGGGTAACTAAAATATGCTAATTATCAAATTCATGCTTTTAGGAAAAATAAAACGTTGACATGAAATATCTAAGTACTACATACTTTCCAACATAGTTGTTTAAATATATTTAGGTTTTCACGAGATAAATGCACAGATTCTGACCAGACTGATTGAAGTAAAATTGAGTCTAGATACCACTTAAACGATCTTGGAATTTGATGATAAAAGAGGCTACATGAAGATATAATAAAAACTTTTATTTCTTTGAAGGTAAAAATTACTTTAGTGCCTATGGTGTGTTTATGTGGAAATTGTGAATCCCAACTTTGGCAGACTTTTCCGGTTCCCGTGACGCTAACTGTACCCATATAGTCTTGCCCATCGTGTGTCATTTTACAATCCCCTGTTAAACATAATTTATTTTTAACATGGCATCACGAGAACAGAACAATTTCAATACATCCTCCTGTACGTTATAAGACACTATGATATATAAGACACTCAGTCGTGTTGTATTAAATACCGATGCTGGAAATGAGTTGAAACAAAGAGTGAAGGTATTCGAAATGTATATTGCCTAGAATGGTACCCTACATACTAGTATATAATCAGTATTTTGACACTCACAATTTCCTATGACAAATGATGATGTTGGTTATAATTTTGAAACCTCAAAATTATTTTTTGTTTACCTGGTTCGGTGACATTGTCTGGTACTACCCAAATAGGATGCTGACAAATGAAAGCCCTTCTATTAAAACAGTAGTCTGTCCGCCATGATCCCCTTAGCCTGGCGTCCGTCTTTATTACGCCACAGTCCATTCTTCCATTGACCTTAGCTGGTTGATTTCTCTCCCATTTTTTGTATCCCGAACTCACTAGGGTCTCGTCGTACCATTTAAACACGTTTTCCTCCGTTTTATCTGAAAACCATTGTCAAAATGATATGATACTATCATTTTGGGATTTAAATATTATTTGTTAAACAGATGTTATTTTCAATACTCATCACACTGTTCCCAATGCGACGGAGAGAGAGACTGTGCTACGTTAGTTTACAGATCATCGAAACATTTGTCAAGTTCAACGACCTTGAGGTCTCCATAAAAATAGACGTCATTCCGCAACAATATAAATTCTACTCTAAAGACAAACTTCGAGTTTGTGTATTTTTTAGGCTTACCTGATATACCGATAAATATAGCATCAGCCTTTGCCTTCCTTATGTTGGCAAGAAAAGAGTTTACATTGTTCTGGACTCGTTGGCTGAAATAAGTAATTATGAAGTTGTTATAAATTCATTTTATTCTGTCTATGTTCGAGGTATTCATGTCCACTCTTATCGTCGTTTCGTATGCATTTGTAATAGGAAATAACGAAAACCACTGTGATACAATTAACCAAGTGCAAATTATTGGGCAGACACAATTGTCAAAAAATACCATTCACCACACTGGTAGCAACACTTTTATTGCCAATTTCATAACTCAGTTATGGGCGTAGCCAGACACGGTACAGGCGAGGCAATTCGTTTCAACGAAAAATTTGAATTGTAGAAATAAAAAAACAGCTTTACTTTGTTATCTTGACAAGAGAAGCTCCTTGAGATCTGCAGTACTCATCTGCATCGCTCCATGTTTTCCAGGTGTCTCGCCGCGAGTTGATCTGATAGCATTGGTCAAGTTTTTCCACCCAGCCTGCTTTACACTTGCCTGATAAATAATTTCATTTATTTTATATAGTTACTTTCTTCAGTTGTAATGCGATTTGTCTTGTTTTTGTAATATGGTTAAGCAGATATGCGTGTCATGCCACACACGCAGCAATGTGTTTATTAGTAAATGACCAAAGACTTGGAGCACACAGGATTCGAATCTACAACCTTAAATCAGACAGGTATTTTGAATTATATTTCATCAATGGGCATGTACGTGCTGTCAAGTGGAAAAATGTAAGGACAACAATATGTTAAAAGCACACATATTGAAAAGAAACGTAAATAATACAATCAAAAGTCAAAGTGGAACATACCCCAACATCCTAAAATGACCTGATCTATAAGAAAACCCTACTGGTTGTTTATGTAACTCAAATACCTTGTGGTTTCTGGCAGATGAATTTGCGTTCAGCTTCACATGGTTGCGTTCTCCACTTATGACCTGCCTGTGGAACTGATTCAACACAAGTACTACCCGGTGTCCTAAAAAATACATTTACATTACAGTATTAGTCAGTAATTATGATTTGATTAAGTTTTGCAAAATAATAACTTAACTATGTTGAACAATTATACAAAATTTTAGGAACAATAAAGCAATCGTATCAAATAACGATCCATACATCATTCGGTTAATAATTTTCACATACATAAAGTTCTTGCAAAAGTACTCTAATTTTTTTGTTTCTCAATCAATCTGGCTGAAATTGTCACTTAGTATACCTACACTATTCATACATTTGAATCTTGAATTATAATGAACGGATCCTTGAAGAAAAAAAGTTATGATTGTTATAGTAACACGAGTCAGGGGTAGGCGGAGCAGCATTGAAAAAAAGAAAAAATAGATAAAAGATATGGGTAAGAGGTAATTTTAACATACTTTAAAGTATCCTGGAAAATACAAAACAAGCTAATGCTGCCATGTCAACCCTAGATGATATCATATGATGACATCATAGTTGAAACTTCTTTGATTCATGACATCACTGATGGTATCAAAGTGACCTATATTGGTTGATGACATCGGCCTTTGTGAAAGGCAGCGCCAATTTTATTTTTGTGAAAATGGCTGCAAAAACAGCAAAATATGATAATTTGCTATTACAAATATTCAGTAGCATCGGGGTGTATGTTTTACTGGGAAATTCAAGAAAACAAACACTTGAAGACATTCATAAGGTGTAGGGGAAGGAGGCTATGGCCAAAAGAACCATTTACAAAATGGACTAAGACATTTACTGATAGTAGAACAAATGGTAAGGACAATGCTAGATCAGGCCGTCCAAGAACGAAATCCAATGAGGATCAGATGATGTTGATGAAAGCCACCCATACAAAGATCAATCGCAATAAATTTTCCAAATGGGTTCCCCTGTCTGTTTGAGAAATGGTAAGTAAGACAGCAGAGGTGTATAGACCATGATGGACACTATATTGAATACATTACACTCTTGAGATACCGTTATTAAAGTAAATAGGACAAGTTAAAAACATTTTGAACATTCAAATAAAACAGATCCTTTTTTGCCTGCTCCGCTTACCCATGACGCATGTGACTATAGGAACCATAACTTTTTTTCCTCAAGGAGCTATTGATTATAACTTCGGATTTCAATGTATGAATAGTGTAGGTATACTGAGTGAAAATTACGGCCAGATTGACTGAGATACAAAAACTTTAAAGAGCACTTTTGCAAGAACTTTATGAACGCCCTGTAATTCCTAATGGTTTGATGTTTTATACTAAAACAACATGCAAGTACATCGATTGTATTTACTGTTACATACATTAATCAGACTAAAATTCAAAATGTACTCGTCGACTGTATTTATATATGCCTGGGACTATCTACTTACAACATAGCTGGTTGGTTGCTGTCCCATTTCTTTATCACAACTGGAGAAGCATCTACCCAAATCAGCGTTCCTGGCACAAGCTGGAATAAAATGAAACAAGCTTGTATATTATATCATATTATATTATATTATATTATATTAATTATACTAGTACATAACTGAAGTATATAATACTTATATTATCAGATTAAATGAATACAAATCAAGGATAGTGCTATCTGATGGTAGTTTAATTTGGAAAGGACACCTAAAATGAAGCTTAGAGCTTCTCATTTTGACATGTTGAATAAAAAGTGTTTTATGTTAAAGAATATACTATTACAATATATCACTATAAGTATATGTACCGTATCGGAGAGGCCCAACCAGACGTTTGCTCTGGAATCTGAACACGTGATCGTGTCAGCGAGATAGTTGAGTTTTTCTGGTTTATCGACAACAATGAGCTGTGCTCCATCTGCCTGAATAATCATACAAATGTGTTAATATTATGGTATGGTACATTATATCTTAAATATATTTAATAAAATAATGTATTTTCCGTATGAGAATTAATTCATTATATAAATTTAATAAATAAGGAGATTCATTTAAAGAACTCACATTGATAGAGATGTAATTTTATTCGCAACACTTACTTCACAAGTAGCCTGTGCATCAGTCCATGTTTGTGGTTCTTCGTTGTATTTAAAACATTGGTTACTGAAACTATGGTAACCTGCATCCAAGTCGCATTTGTCTATATAATCTGTAATAACAATACACCAATATTTTTGAATATTGACTTTGTGAATAAAATGGCATATTACGAAGATGATAAATATTTTAAGAGAGATATATATGATAAATTACATTTTTTTCTTAATCAAGCAGTTATATGCCAGTTCGACTGCCATAAAGGGAATGTCATACGAAAAGTAATTTACAAAATCCGACTCGAAAAACAAACCATAACATATCAATTTATTTATTTAGAAGAAAACATACTATCATTTGCATCTGACTAATAGATCTGTAACTATATTTATCGCTATAAGAAACGATTTTGTAAGAATCAGAAAATGGCATTTCATTTACCTTTTTTCCCCCATTGAACTACGTGTTAAAGCCTCTTTACCTTTGAATTTTTATTTACTTAACCTGCGATGAAAATACTTATACTATTGATGGAAACGTAATTTGACTTTAATTCCAATACCTCCAAATTTTCCCAATTTTTTTCCTCAATTACAATAGGTCGAAAATTGATGATAAATTTGATGACGTTTTGAAAATCGACATTCCCATGTTAACCAAACGTAAAGAGGCTTTAACACGTAGTTCAATGGGGGAAAAGGTTGCAAAACTTATGGAGGGGAGTGTATATGAAGAGTTTGATCGAAATCTCGAGAAAGTTGATGTGAATTGATAATTTTCAACAACGGTAGTATATAAATACAGATATATGACACAACTTAATAATATATGAAGGCAAAAAAATTATTTAGACACAATGATAGCAGGTCAATAAATAATTCATTATTAGTATATTTGTATGTGCAAGAATGTTTGATCTGACTAACTAACGAAAATGATGCTGGAATTGTTGATTTGCATCTACAGTTCAAGTGGAAGGCTAGGTATTTGGAAAACCATTTTTAGGTGAACGCTAGAAAGTGATCACATACAGTGATTCTATTTTGAAGCAATCGTAGCATGGCTTCCTAGTCAACTCGTACCCAAGACAACTGGTACCCAAGACAAGGGTACACATTGGGGAAAAAATTGAGTTTGTAATGCTTTCAGGTTGTAATGTGAATCAAATAAGCCTCAATATTTTTTTGAATTTAGACGACATTTTTTCTCAATGGATCAGTAAAGCATTTTTTTATTAAATGAAAGAAGTGCTTGAAGCGCTTGTTCACAACATTTTTTGTCAAACATATATACAAATAAATATAATTACAACATTAGATCTGACACTTGTTCCAAACACTCATAAACATACAATATTTTGAAAAATGATTATGAATATGTGGAATAAACATATGTCTCTTCACTCGAACATCCTGAATCTGTGACCAATATAAAATAATAGTCAATATAAATTGACACTCAGCTCAAAATGTCACAAAATTAAATCAATTTCTTCCGAAAATTCTTCTTCAAACTTTAAACTATTCTGAACAGTATGTTACAATTATAATATGTATATCTATTCACATTCCCAGTCCAAAATATATACTTGGGTACGAGTTGTCTTGGGTACCAGTTGTCTTGGGTACGACTTGTCTTGGGTACGAGTTGACCAGTTACCGTAGCATGTAATATCATTAGTTTATAGCTACTGAGTAGTATAATTTAAAGTTTGAGAGTGTGATTGTATTCAATGAAAAACCTGGTGCAAAATGTAGATTTGGAACTTCAGGTAAGGTATCAAGCTTTTAAAAATGTATGTAAAAGAATTGAGTGCCGAGAGCTTCAAAAGATTTTGCGTGAACAGTGGTTCTAAGTTTTACCATTTCTTCGCTTGCATATAAATCTCACACGGCGTCCACACTCTACATCATCCCATGAACCCGGTGGACGATTCCAAAATTTAGCACAATTCTGGTGCCCTCTGAGCCCATCTGGCTGGTTTTTTGCCCAGGCTGCTTTACTGTATAACAAATCACAATGACTGTCAGAGTGCTAAAAGTGGCGAAAGTGATAGTCTTGTCAAGTCTTGTCTAGTTACAGTAACAATAAAAGCATGAGTTTGCTTTTTATCTAAGCAATGCGCAAGCTGAAGGAACTTTTTTATCCATAAATGGAGATGTATGCTATAGGACTTTCATGAATTGTAATAAAATGGTGTTGATATGGTCGTGCACTACAATGAGATGTTCTTAAACCTAAAAGCAAATTGGTATGTAATACTAGTTGATTGCTGATAACTAATAACAACTAGTCTTATACTATTATTAGAGTGAGATACAACAAGTGTTTGAATTAGTAAAATTTTACCATTTCTTCGCTTGCAAATAAATCTCACTCGACCCCCACATCCAGCATCATCCCATGAGCCTGGTGGATTATTCCAAAATTTAGCACAGTTCTGTTTTCCTTTATGTCCATCTGGCTGACCTTTCGCCCAGGCAGCTTTGCTGTACAAACGCAATAAGTGTTAGGATGCCTTATGAAAGAATGAAATCTTCAAACAAATAACATTGATTTCGTTCTGCCTAGTGTTGGTGTTGTGTAAGGTTTTTTTATAAGTGACAGTGCTCATTCAGCAGTGGAATTACTACAGAGTGTGGTCCAAAAAGTCATTTGAGAGGCCTTACGTCCTTAACAGCTCCAAACATTTCTAACTTATAAAATACAACATGATTGTGTAAAATATTCATAAAACAAGAAGTTTTAAGAATGAATGTTAAGATAAAACACTAGACCTCATAAAATTGACTTTTGAGCCCATATAGATAACAGGAAGTGCAGGATATGTGCAAAATTATGACCGATACTAATAATGGCAACTGATACAAAATACACATTCCCCATATGTTTACCATTTCGCCGTTTACAGATGAATCGTAGTCTGCTATTACACGGTCGGTCGTTCACTGATCCGGTTGGTTTATTCCAGAAATGTGCACAGTGTTCTTTCCCTCTGTTACCGTCTGGTTGACCCTTGGCCCACATCGCCTTGCTATACGTAATTTGAATCGGGGACATGTTATACAATTCGAAATTAATTTCAAACTAATTTACTTTAAACGTTCTGGAGCGTTTATTTTACCTCCTTCAGATTCTCATTCAATGAGATTATACACTTAGTTTATTTATGATTTCAAAGGGGGACGTTAGACTGTCATATCTTTTATACAAGGCGACACAAAATAACACCCAAATAATGTTGCATAACTTTTTTTGTCTGTATGATCTCTTCACACTATCCAATTGGGTTCTTCATTCACTTTGCATAAATTTGATCCATACATACTGACGTGTTTATGTCTAACAACAAAACAATCAATTAGAAACAAGAAAATATGAATATATTTAATTCTGCATCCAAATATATACAATCAACTATTAATTGGCTTTATTCCCTATGCCTCAAAAGAATGTTCATTGAAAAATGATAGCGAAGTCACCGTTGTGACGCAATTGCGTATATGCATAAGTCATTAAGTGGTATTAACTTAGGAGACAATCGGTGCTAGAGTTGAGACCATGCGCGGGGTCCTCCAGCCAGCTCTGCGGAACTGTGGCCCTGCGGGACCGTGATTGTCGGGAAACAGCCCAAGTAAACCTAATTCACTTTCAAACAATCATGACGGTAAACCGTAGAGTGTACCTGTCTTATCAGCTAGATAAGTCGCGTTGCGAACATGATTGTTTGGAATTGGAGACAATTATGTACATAGAAAGCGATATATATTTACATAATTGAATACTATGAACTGGTTTATCTTGAACCAGCTGCACTATCATTAAAATGTAATGAATTGCAGTTGGGGAAGAATGAGTTGAAACGAATAATTGCACCTTGAAAACAAACTATGCCAAAACGTACTAGCAAAATTCAATGAAGGTGATGAGGATGGGGATGGCGGTGGATACTTGAATTACAAATGTAGACCAACGTGTATTCAGCTTGGTTACATTTGAAAGAAGAAAGAACTTTACAAATATAGCTCTAATAATACGTGTGCATCCGTGTGCAACCACAACATGTCAAACAAGTCACGCCAAACTCTATATAAGGTTAGGCAGGCGTGGTTTATTTCGTTATCCATAAACTAAACTTATTAAAATAAGTTAAAATTTAAGGTCATTTAATCATGATTTGTCACAAACTCAACCCCTTTTGAAAATCATGAAAAACAATTAAAAAGATATAGCATACAACTGATAGCATTTTACAAACTATTTTAATCTGAAACAATCAAAAAGTCACAAGCCCGCAATAAGCTGTGAGAAGAAATGTGAAGCTAAGTTATGTTTGAATATCCTTCATGATCATATCGATACATAGGTAAGTCGGTTTTAAGCAAGACAAAATTATGAGATATCAGGAAAGATCAGACAATTAACGAGTTATATATTTTACAAGCAAAGCACTGAGATCAGTACTTAAGACCCCTTTTCACACAACACTAAATAATTTTTAAAAGGAAAAAAAGATGCAGTTAGGCGTGTCATTTTGAAATCCATCCAGTGCCAGACGAACAGATAGTACTTAAAATTATGAAATTGATGTAATCTAAAAATAGAATCCCAAATCACTAAAATAAATAGCCCAGGAGTTTGGTGAATTATTTCAAGAAAACACATCATTTGAGATGTTGTGTTCTGCTTAGCTCAGATTTGACACACATTGCCTATCTATGTGTGAATTGATGGTTTGACACACATTGCCTATCTATGTGTGAATTGATGGTTTGACACACATTGCCTATCTACATTATGTGTGAATTGATGGTTTGACACACATTGCCTAGCTATGTGTGAATTGATGGTTTGGCACACATTGCCTATCTATGTGTGAATTGATGGTTTGACACACATTGCCTATCTATGAGTGAATTGATGGTTTGACACACATTGCCTATCTATGTGTGAATTGATAGCATTGCATTTTCTATAAATGTTTAGCAGACTGCGTGTAATATGCTGGACAGGTATATATTTGGATGTGCGTGTGAAATCAGAAGCTTAATTTTGAAAGATAAATACAGAAACACAATGATAGGATTAACAAAATAAATCAAATAATTTAAAATGTCAAATAGTTAGGCATTTTCTAACTAAATACATCACAATGGTGGTACAAATGTAGTAAGTAATCATATTGGACAAGTGAACGTATTTCTTATTGATAATGCTACTGTAAAACACTTTAATTTCACGTACATCTAGTTTTCACGTTTTTACGAGATTTTTAGAACAAAATTTCTTGTTTTACTTGTAATGTATTTGTCTTGAATCAAGTTCCTACTCCCTTTTATTTGCTTATCATAAATTATAAGTTATACCCTTCATGCGAGATGAAAAGAAATTGGTAGCTATACTTGATATAAACCTAAGCTGAATTTGTGTTTAATAAAATAAACTTACGCGACATTTGGGTCCCATCTTGACCTATCGACCCATTTGTACTTTTTGTCCTTCTTGGGTAAATCAGTCGCTCCAACCCAAAATTCCAATCGTCTTCTTTTTACTTCATCTTGTATAAATCTCTGGAAACACCAATTTTAACAAAAAACACTTAACAACGAGGTCGAGAAAAGTAAAAATACTTGGTATTGAAATTTCAAAATCAATGTGGTATACTTAACAATTCGAAAAAGACACGGGTGACACAAGCTGATTCACAGCACTGTGTGCAAATGTGTATAACTCTATTTAATTTAATCCGATTGTCTCTTAAAAGTCTTTAACGCGTGATACTAAAGGATGTGGTAGATAATATTAATCGACAAATACACAGTACGACAGGTAGGCAAGTCAATAAAATATCAAGTCGATAAAATACAAGACAACGAAACAAGATAATCAACTGTAGTATTATGTCCTTGATTGTAAAATTTTACCGTGTGAATTAGCGAATATCTATGTTAGCATTACAAAACAGTGACAAAAAGAAAGATCCACAGCATCCCGAATCATAATTTAATGCACTAGAAAATGCTGTCCAAGAAAAAAACATTATAGTGCAGCCTATATAATATAAGAATTATATAATAAATAAATTGAATTGAAAAAGGTCAGGATAATACAGGGTGTCCAAAAAGTATATGTTTACAATTACAAGTACACAAAGTCTACGTCTAAAGTGTAAAGATACTTTATGAAAACCCTGTATATTTTGATGAATGAAAATATATTTCCAATTCTCTAGACCTCAAAAGTTCTGAAGAAACTAGTTGTAAAGAATTTCGTCTCTTGGACAAATCATATCCAATCGCAGTCCAAATGAGAATACAAATGAATTCATAATTATCCTGTCTATCAACTTTATTCGTGTTTTTGTATCATTGCAGATCTGATACTAATTGACATACTCTATATTTTTCAAAATGAACACTTAAAGGACAAATATGTTGTGAGAGGTCAATTGCATGAGAGCAATTCAGTAATTTTTCTAATTCTAAATGAATCTATAAAGCAAGGAGATAAGACTGTGGGAGAGTACCCTTGACGATCACATTGAATTTTGACACTTATTATGCTCCTGCAATAATGTTAAAACTATCATATTTGTACAATGCTATAGAAAACAAAGGTTAAAATCTATTGAATGGTAGTAATCGTATTTGATAATAAAAAATAGATCATCTTGTCAAATGATTCTACAAATCTCTTTAAATATATTCACTCGGGTGTATTAGATCAGTCTACCCAACCAAAGTCTACCCAACCCAAGTAAGACTCAACTCTAAATGTTTGGAAACCCCTAGACTTCCATCAGAACTTTTAAATCGTATAGAAATGCTATGATCGTATAGAATTAGAAACTATCAGCATTCGACTTACAAATTCTTGCATATTGTTCATACTGAGAAGATCTGCCCCTCTATTCTTGCACACAGCTCTCGATTCATCAAAAGTATAAGCAGTATCTGAGAAATAGTAGCAGAATCTGCCCCAATTCAAATAGCCCTTGGGACATCTTGATTCCAGCGCCTGTCCGTATGCTGCAAATATGAACAATAAGTTGTTTAATATTTGATTAGTTTGAATATTCGTATGTTTCAAAGCATGCTCTTAAGATCCTAAAATAAACAATTAATACGTCACTCAGCTAATTATGCTTATATAGATACGATGCACTCTTGCAATAATTAAATAGGGAATTTGTAAAAATAAAATATTGAATTTAATTCAGCTTATTATGCTAATAGATACAATACACTCTTGCAATAATTAAATAGTGAATTTAATTCAGCTAATACAGCTAATTAATAGATACAATACACTCTTGCAACGATTAAATAGTGAATTTAATTCAGCTAATTATGCTAATAGATACAATACACTCTTGCAAAAATAAAATAGTGAATTTAATTCAGCTAATTATGCTAATAGATACAATACACTCTCGCAAAAATTAAATAGTGAATTTAATTCAGCTAATTATGCTAATAGATACAATACACTCTTGCAATAATTAAATAGACTAAGTAAATTTCATTCAGCTAATTATGCTTATAATATAGATACAATGCACTCTTGCAATAATTAAATAGTGAATTTAATTCAGCTAATTATGCTAATAATATAGATACAATGCACTCTTGTAATAATAAAATAGTGAATTTAATTCAGCTAATTATGCTTATAATATAGATACAATACACTCTTGCAATAATTAAATAGTGAATTTAATTCAGCTAATTATGCTAATAATATAGATACAATGCACTCTTGTAATAATTAAATAGTAAATTTCATTCAGCTAATTATGCTTATGATATAAATAGAATACACTCTTGCAATAATTAAATAGTGAATTTAATTCAGCTAATTATGCTAATAATATAGATACAATGCACTCTTGCAATAATTAAATAGTGAATTTAATTTAGCTAATTATGCTAATAGATACAATACACTCTTGCAATAATTACATCTCACATATTTGAACATTTCTCGCAAGGAAGAAAATGTGACCTATTTGGTGAGATACAATTGGCATATAATGCTACATCTTACTACATGCACTTTTAATGTTTATCTATGTGATGATCCATTTTTCTGTTTTTCAAAACAACGAAAACTGAAACGATTTATTGCTGTTGCTTCTTCGCAATTATAAAGAGCATTGAATCTGGGGTTATCACTGTTATATTGTCTTTGACATGTTCTGACCCTGTTCAGATGACTCTAGAGTGCCTCATATTATATCACGCAGTCTTTAAAAACCAATGTTAAAAATGAGTGCAAAACATGATCAAAGTTTATTCATACGAGGTTATTGTGATCTGGTTAATTTTCGCTTTTCACGGATTTTCGAAAATTCATAAAATGTAATAGCCGTACAAATTTCAAACTATAATTTATATTTTAAAACACTTCCATATAGATATTATTGTGTCCACTAATTTATATATTTAATTCATAAAATTATTCATTGCAAAACTGTACCAAACTGTATTTTTAGAAAATAGTCAAATCATCGAAAATCAGTGGAAACAAAATTTTGAAAAAGTGGAAATAAACGAAATACGCACAAATTATAAAACGCGAAATATAACAGCTTTAAATATTGGCCAGATGTTAGTGAATAACATGACTCTGCCATTACACATGTTGTAATGTATGTCAACTCCATTGTTTGGCATTGCTAACGTCAAATTCAATTCTGGATTGTGACACACAAAACCTTGTACAAATCATATCATTTACAACATTTTTACAATACAAGAGCTATCAGCCATTGTGTATGATTATCTTGATGTATAGTTCAATATCTAGTTTGATATATGGATGGTTGTGCCTTCATTTTTATCTGTTATTGTTTCCTCTTGTAGACATCACAACGCCTTCAAGTATGATAAAAAGAAATTATTCACCGGGAGGGATTTGATATAGGGAATACACAAGACAAAATCGTATGGAATAACTTGCGATAAGCTAGTTATTAAGCTTGTTATTATGGTCTTACTAGTGCTTATTATTGAGTAATGGTACAGGTATTCGATATGGTATTGCAGCTTACACTTAAGTAATGGTACACGTATCCTTGGATTTTAGGCCCGAATACCGAGGTTTATTTTTTTAATTATCGTGTATTATTATTTTGTGTTAATATTAGTTAACCATCTAACTATTGGCATGATATGATAACCTTGTTATATTAATATAGCGCATAGGCGTAGCCAGGGGATGTGATGTGTGCGATCGCACCTCCCCCCTCCATAACCAATGAAAATAGAACCATTAGATAGAAGAAAAAAGTCTTAAAATGCTTTTTATTTGAAGCTTCTAGCTCGATTTTGAACGAAGTTGCACCAATTTTTGTAAAATTCAAAACAAATCTTCAAAAACATTTTTTTATGCCACGATCGCACCCCACCACCCCCCCCCCCCCCCCTCCCCCGATTGAAAGCTGGCTACGCCACTGTTACGTGTAATCAATACGCTACATTTTGTATGTTCAACTTGTATACTAAAAACTGTTATTAATCCACAAATTTAGATGAAGACAAGATAAAAATTCGAATCAAGAATGAAAAGGTGTCTAAGTATATAAATCTTAAGGGTAATGCATATTTGAATTAAACAGAGGCGGGTTAATTTATATTGTGCTATGAATTACGCTATTATTCAAAATTGCAGCTAAGATGCCTGTTTTATGATACCCTGCGTGAAGAGTCTGGTTAAACTACACTAAGACGAAGCTCTCTTTTAAGAAGTGAAGTCAAACGAATGCAAAGGGTAGTTTTATGAAAAATATCACGGAAGATGTATTCTAGATATCAGTAGTATTCTCAGAAATTTATTATCCGAAACGGATAACATCTGGCCACTCAGACAAACAATCGCAGACATAGGCTAAGCTTGTTTATTTAACAGATAGATTTGTTGACTTACCGATCCGTATTTCAATCTCCGGGAAGACGTTCTTTTCACTTTGTATTTGCGTGCAGTGTAATATAAGTTGATACTTTTGTTCAAAAATGCACTTTTAATGGCCATTTTATGCCTTTTATTTTCAAATTATGTTTTGTTTTGATGTCAGTGTGAAAAGTCAAGAAACGTCAACCCCGACTTTTAATCAAAAAATGTTGGTTAATCACTTATGGCAAATCACAAGGTTGATGATGTCAACGGACCATGATCGTGGAAGGCTATCAATATCAGGTGTATATCGCATAGAAAATAAATATAGCTAATTTTTCGCACTGATATGATGATGACTATTCTGTCGAATCGGGTATATATTTCTCAGTTTTTTCCGGTAGTAAAACTATTCATTTCTATCAATTTTACAAATGGGGTCCTTTGAATGCACATTAAAACTATAAAAGTATTTATTGGGCGTACATACTCGTTCTGTCATGTTACTTACATTTCATTTGCAAGTTGTCCACATATTAATCCGGCGTTTTGTTTAATCAAATTATTTCCCGCCCCTTGAGGTTTCCGACTGTAAAACTTAATATTTAATACTAAACAATGCATCAGTTAATATTTTCATAATACAAATTTTCCATTTTTATTTCTCTGATAGATAAAGTCTCATTTTGAATCTGTTCGTGTATTAAAGAGTATGCTTTTATAATGCCGTGGTCACATTTGCTCAGATTTTCAGCACCGGCCCCCGGCCGATGAGTATTTTGTTCAAAATTGTATTCAATTCTGAACAAAATACTCAATCGGCCGGGCGCCGTAATGAAAATCGGAGCAAATGTTACTAAGTCATAACTGATGAAAAATCGAATGAGAACATGAACATGGATAATAGGGGCACTATTACGCTGCGTGCAGAGTCTAATTATAAACTACAAGAAGACAAAACTCTCATTTAAGAAGTGAAGTCGAACAAATGCAAAGGGTAGGGCACTATAGAAGGGGATCATATAAAAGCACGATCTATTTCACAACGCCTTTAACTTTTGTTCTTCAACTGTTGCCCTTTGTGCATTTCTGATTTGTTCCACCTTTCTTTTCGCTCAGTTCTGCAATATTATGTCCATATGTTGTTTAGGATTATGTCATTTGCGAAATAGCTGTAAGACATTATGAGAATGAATATGGGAGTTTCCACGATAATGTTGTTCACATGATTTTATACACATACCTGCATAACAATCGGAGACAGAAGTCTTTATATTGTCCAATAAAAAAAATAAGAATCTAACATTTAATGATAACAAAAGGATTAATTGCTTGGTTCTCTTTGTTTTATTCTTTGTTTTCTTAAATGCGGAAGTGTACCAACATCACCTAGATTACATAAGAGATCATCTAACAGTCTAAAATTCCTTTAATTGCAAGTTAATGCATTCCGACCAAAATTTGTATACCTGTAATTTGGGGGGGGGGCGATGTTACATCACATAACCACAACGTTCATATAGAAATATACAATAAGCATGTCCGTATAAAAGCTAAAATTATAAAAACTCATTTCAAAGTCATTCTGTTCATGGAAGCCTCAAGTTATGAAAAACAATGCTAAACACTCAAACAAATCGACTTGATTACCTTTGAAAACTTCTTGAGAGGAAATGGACAAGTGTATTTTTCTAACTCATTAGAACGTCTGTCTGATTGAAATACTATTTTTATAAATACAAACATTATTGATTTAATCTTGGTCAGAAGTCTGAACATTGTCCAACAAAATAATAAGAATCTAACATTTAATGATTACAAAAGGATTAATTGCTATATAGTCTTTGTCTTAGTCTTTGTTTTTCTAACGGCGGAAGTGTACCAACATCACCTTGATTACAGAAGAGATCATCTAACAGTCTAAAATTGCTTTTAATTCCCGGGTTTTAATTACATTTTATGTATAGACTTTTTTGCCTCTATTCTCATTTTTAAACCTGTTCCTGTTTGCTTATTTAACAATTGTGATAAATTATTCAGTTAGTGTCCTCTTTCACTGACTAAATATTAAAATAAGCCAGTCTGATTGCGAATTTACAAATCCTGTAAAAGTAGCTCCAAACCGCTTTTTAAT